GGTGGAAGGCAATATGACTACAGCAGCAGAGACTGGAGTGATGTGACCACAAGCCATGGGATGCTAGGAGTCACAAGGACCTAGAAGGCAGAGAAGGCGAAGAACAGACTCTTGTAGAGCCCTCCGATAGTGTGGTCCTGCTGCCATTTTGACTTTGGAACTGTGAAACTAGTTTCCGACTTTTAGAACCATGAGATTAAAAAATTTCTAGTTCAAACTATTGATCTGTTGCGGCAATGAAAGAACATGGACACAATGGGCTGCACAAACTATTAGATATGTCGTATGAACCTGGACAAGTTACCTAATTTGCAACCTGGTGCTGAGTCTGTACCCCACCCCAGGGAAAACCACAGCAGATGCCCTAGAGGACATGGTAACATGTATAACATAGGACAATTTGTAGAGATTATGCTGAAAACATAGTTATTATGATGTTTCTTAGGCATTTTATAAACTGTTTTGCTTAGTTCTCATGGCTCCATGTTGACTATCACATCTCCTCATTTCACAGTTGAGGAAACAGAGAAGTTAAACAGTCTGCTCAAATTGCATGATCAAAATGAAAAATACCATGGGAATAATTTTTTGAAATATTTTAGATGTGTTTTTAAAATATTCTCATATCTTATTGCCAGATGCACTCCATCCACTGAAATAATAGTTCCAGTGTTTCAGAGGGAAGAAAAGATATGGTCAGAACAAAGGCGTGACTGTCAGGGGGACTTTCAGTCTCTAGCACAGGATTAATCTTGAAAGCCAAGCTTTGTTGAGTGAGAGTTTTAAAAATTCTTTCATTGCCCCTTAACTCATCAAAAAGCAGAACCTGTGGGGGTGAAGCTAAAGACATAGGAGGCATGAAGAAAACCCTTACGTTTGGGAATGGGGAGGGAAGCTATGCTTGACCCAGTAGATTGTGAGAACGAAAGGAGAAATGAGAGTAAGTGATACATCAAGAAACCAGCCACCCACTTTTCACTCTGCTAGAGTTTGGGTTTCTGAATGTCTCCAGGAGGCCCATGTGTTCAAGCCTGGTTTCCAGACTTTAGCACTACTGGGAGATGATGGTGGAACCTCTGGGAGGTGGGGCCTATCAGGAAGAAGCTGGGCCACTGGTGACCAACTCAAGGGGTATTGGAACCCCGGCCCCAGTTCCTTCTTCTCTCACATTCTGCCCACAAAGTGAACAGCTTGATTGTGCTCTGTGCACAATGTGCTGCCTGGGCATAAGTCCGAGAGCAACAGGGCCAACCAGCCCTGGGAAACCATGAGCCAAACAAAACCTCAGAAGTTCATGTATCTTACGGAGATAATGGAAAGCTGATGACTGTGTACTCACGCCACCATAACTCATGATCTCACCATGGTAACTCATAATAAACTTCTGTTTATCCACTTTCAACTTGGGTAACTTCTTCTTCCTTCTCTTCTTTGACTGAATCTCACTATGTAGCCCTCACTGGCCTGGACTTTGCTGTGTAATCCCAGCTGTCCTTGAACTCAGGTCTGCCTGCCTCTGCCTCTGCTGGGATTAAAAGCAGCACTGCTAATTCCAGCCATGTCTCTATTCTGGGAAGACTAAATCCGTGAGTTTGAATGGCTTTTTATAGCGTGAGATCTAGAAAAAACACAGCAAAGGTTTCACTGTCATGTCAGATTAAAAAAACAAACCCAACCATGACTTAGCCAATTAGAAATTTGTCTTCCAGCCGGGCAGTGGTGGGGCACACCTTTAATCCCACCACTCAGAAGGCAGAGGCAGGAGGATCTCTGTGAGTTCCAGGACAGCAAGAGCTCAACAGTGAAACCTTGTCTCAAAAAACCAAAAAAAAGAAAAGGAAAGGAAAGAAACTTGTTTTCCTCCATTCCGAAGCAGCTTGTCCAGGCTTGATGCAAATATTCAGGACCCACTGGAGCTTCAGCTTCCTTCTTGTGCTCTACTTGGCACAGCTTCCGACAGGGCAGTCTCCATTTTCAGGAGAGTTGCCCTCCTTCCCGGCAGGGACAAAATGTGGAGGTGGAATGGACATGTGGAGCAAGTCAGACCCGTTCACCAGGGAGACGGCATGTTCTCACAAGACCCACACAGCAAACTTACACCTTACTCTCACTGACCACAGAGGACCACGTGGCTCCTCAGCTGCAGGAGTGCAGAGAAGGTTCCATGTTAGCAGGTGTTTTCCACAGGAACCACGAGGGAAGAAGGCCAAGCCTCACTGCTCACAGTGCTTCAGTGTGCTGGCCTTCTGTTGTTAGTTTCCAGTCTTGTTAGACGGACTGTTCTTCTCTTGTGCCGTGGCTAGCAGTTTCCTACCGTCCATCTCTGCTCAACTGGGACCGGCTCAGGAAAGCCTACTGCAATGCAAAGTGACTCCTTTCTCAAGCAGCGACTCTCCCACAGGAGACTGTTTACTCCCCCACCCCACCCCTTTTCTCCTCCTCCTGCCCTTCCTACCTTTTCCCTTCTCCTCTCTTGAGGCAGCATAGCCTCTGAACCTTGCTATGTGCCAAGGATGACCTTGAAGTTCTGATTCTCCTGCCTCCTGAGTGCCAGGATTACAAGATCAGCACCACAAGTCCTCAGTGCTTTGGGCACGGTAAGTGCACACTCTAATAACTTAGCTACATCCCCAGTCACTGAGCACTCCCTTATCAGATGTCACTAGCTTCTTATTACTCATTTCCCTCTACAAGAAAGCAGCCCTTTGGGAGACAGGGTCTCTCTCTATAGCCCAGGCTATCCTAGAACTCTCTATGTAGACCAGGCTAGTCTCAAATTGCAGAGATACATCTGCCTCTGCTTCTTGAGTGCTGGAATTAAAGGTGTGCACCACCATGCCCTATTTGATATTTATTTTTTAAATACTCATTCTTTTTTGAGACGAGATTTTACTATAAAGCCCAGGCTGGCTCTGAACTTCTGATCCTTGTGCCCCAGCTTCCCGAGAGCTGGAATTTACACTTACAAGCTATTAAGATCTGCTTTCAAATGTACATTGAACTGAAGTTCCTAGAAAAAAAAAAGCCACAACTACATCAATATTCTACAAGGTTGGCTAACTGATGAGGGGTCAATGATTGAAGAGTTGGAATGTTGCAGGTCCAGAGCCAAATTATTTTGGGCTATCTATCTAAATAGCTATTTATTGTCCTCACTGTGACTATTACATAAATCCTGTTTTAATACATAAACAGACCCCATCCCAAAGAAGATCACATAACATCTGAGGCCCATATTAGAGATTTCACTGATGTGCTGTAACTGGGGCCTACTTGATGTTTCTACTAATGTATCTAAAGTGTCTTGATTTGGGATTTTCTTTGTTCTATTGCTATAGGAACTTAATGAAATTGTTACCACCTTGGAACATGATATTTGGGGTAATCTAAATCTCTGTTCCTGAGGCCATAGGCATTCACATTTTGCTCCAGAAGAAACTCTGAGACCCTTTGAATTGAGAGCTATGCTTTTTCTATCAACAATATTTTAAGAAAAATGCTACTTGAAAGGAGCTGTCAAAGATAAATAATGCCTGAGCTATAGCGATGGCTCAGAGATTAAGAGCACTGGCTGCTCTTCCTGAGGACTTGGGTTCAATTCCTACCACCTACACAGTGGCTTACAACTTTAATTCCAGTCTTGAGGGATCCAAAGCCCTTTTCTGGCCTATGTCGGCACTACACACTTGGGATGCCCAGACCTTCAGGCAAAACTCCTATACACACAAAAGTAAATAAATCTTAAAAAGATAAGCCTATATGAGGACATTAGTTAAAGACACAAGGAAAGATTTTACTGATGACAGCTGCCATGAGAAAGACTGCACTATGAACTGGATTCTATTTTCATGAAACAAAAGGGTGGAGATTTTTAGAGGCTGGGGAATGTTGCTGAAAGATCTAGAGTGCTGGTGAGTGTTGATGGCTGTGACCGGGCCACTTGTCCAGTAGAGAAATAAACTTCTCTGATGACAGGAGGCAATGGAACAAGTTGAAGTAAGACAACCATCTCTCAGAGGAAGTGGAGCCCAAGGTGAATTATCTTCCTTGAATGCTGGCACCTCCGACAGATGGCTATCAGCTCCAGGAAAAATTAGGTTGCACTCCAAAGTGCAGAGAAGGAATATATAGTTATAATCTTTACTTCAGGACCTACCTATATGGAACCGGATTTGGGCTGGGAGAATAAAAAAAGGAAATTTCCCATACCTCGAGGGATTTTAAGGGGTGTAGTATAATCACAAAGACAACACCCTAAACTGCTGTAATCTGTGTTACAGCAGAGTCAGGTTCCTTACTGCTGTTCCATCCCGACAGTCCTGCAGTTTCCAGGATATAGCTAAAATCTGATTGATCTGGCTTTAAAAACTGCCAACACCTTATGGTATGTTTCAAAAGTGCAGAGGCCAAAGCTGACTATATGCTTAAAACTTACCAACTTGTCTCATTAACAAATAAAAATAGGAATGCCAGGACGCAAGCTGCTCTCCACACCTGGCTGTACCACTTTAAACCTAACTTTTGCCCTCCGTTAATTAGTTTATTATCCCGACTGTGTGCTTGTTTAGGAGGGGTTTGGGATCAAGTGGGACAGAGGCTGGCTGTCCTTTTGGACGGAGAGGCTTATGGGAAATACTGACACCATGGAAGGCGGCACACAGGGAGCTCTAGGAGGCTCAGACCGGGGGCTCCAGGCTTCGGATCCCTTCCTATAGGTCAAAAAACAGCGGGGAGCAGGTCACCTGACTGAGCGGATCACGTGACTGGCGGTTACCGCTCACAGGCGGTCGCTGAGTCAGCTCCGAGGGCACGGTCCGAAAAGCGAGTTGGTTTACTTCTGGAAACCAGCCCGCTGTCGTTTCGGGAACCGTCCCTGAGTCATTATTCCACGCCTCCTCCTAACCTCGAATCGCTCATGTGACTCTGCACGGCCTTCCTCTCCCGGTCCCTTCCCTTCCGCTTTGGCCTCCGGGTTCCTCCCTCCGCGCCCCGCCGCTCACCTCCGTGCGCCTGCGCAGACGGGGGGTCAGGCGGGCAGGCCGCGGGGTTGGTTTGCGGCATCGTCGTAAAGCGCCGTCGTGCGGCCGGTGCGTCGTGGGGCTGCGGGCGCCGCGGGCTGCGGACAGCCGGCTTGGGTGGGGGGGACGTCGGCGTCCCGCTAGGGGCGAGCGCGGCCGGGTCCTAGTGCCCGCTGGCTGCCCGGCGCGGGGCTCCTCGCTGCGGGGCTCCTCGCTGCGGGGCTCGAGCGAGGCCCGGCGGCTTGCAGACCCCTCGCCGGTCGCGCGCCGGGCGCCCATGGCCGGCCGCTCCCTGGGGCAGGCGGTAGCCACCGTGTCGCTCTCAGTGGCCCTCGCGTCCCTGACTGTGCGGTCCTCAGGCTGCCGCGGCGTCCCCGCGTCCAGGTACCCCGTTTCTGGGACGGGCTGCGGCTCCCTCCGCCGACCTCGGGTGGACTGCGACCCCCACTTGCCCTTCCTGAAGGTTCTGTGTAGGCTTTGCCCGAGTGCTGGATTTTGGGGAAAAAAAACCTATCAGCAAGGACCTCTCTCGATCTCTGATGTCTAAATTTGCCATCATAGATGAGCCGCCAGTGTTAATTCATAGACCACCGGAGAGTTTAAAGAGCGCTTTTTGGGTTGCTCTGCGTGAGGGGTAATGCTGGATACCTGTAATGGAAACATATATACTGTTACTGTGAGTTGCAGATATTGCTTGCTGTGCGCAGGAAGGCGATTGACTATTGGCTTTTGGTTCCATCGATAGACTGGAAATCGAAGTGTAAACTCGCTCTTTCTCTTTGTGCTGGACAAGGTGGCCGCGACTTTACTAGTGACTTGGAAAGTTTCTGTTAAGTTCTCGGACACCATTGTCTGTAGCAGTGGTCCTAACCCTCACCTCCTTAAAACACATACACCCACACCTCAAACTTGACTGTATCCAGGAGGTAGACTATCACCAAGCTTCAGTTTCACAGAGGAAAAGAGGTTAGTTCTGTGGCCGGCTTATAAGACCAAATTTGAAATTTCTGAGGGCTCCGCTTACAGAAGTGACACCTTCCTTCACCTTTTGGAAAACAGAAACCACTTCTACTGTGATTTGTAGGTCCCATGGTTTCATCTGTTTTCTGTCTTCCTGACAGGTTAAAACCCCTCAGTCAGAGTGTCCTCTGTTTGCTGGTGTGAATGAACTTCCTTTTATACATCTGGTCTTCTTCAGTGGGGTTTGCAGAGGGAAAAACTCAGCTCCCTGGAAGTCACTAATGCCACTTTTGTTGATTGTTACCAGAACAGTGTCAAGCTGCTTGGTGTTTATTCTTTGTTTTAGTAAAATGGGGAAGGGAACTCTGAAAGTGGTGTATCCAGAACTGAAACTGCATGTTCAGAAGTGAAGTCCAAAGCTGAGTCAGCAAGAATGTGTTGCATGCCTGCTAATCTAATACTGTAAACCCTGTGGGGACAGGCAAGAGCAGTGTGCCATCAAGAGTTTGTGACTGTAGTTTTCTTTAGGGGTGTGGCCCAGCTTAGAGCCTGGATCTGGATTCTGACTCAGCTGAGAATATATGACCTCAGCTAACCTATTAAGGTTCCTGAGTCTTTATTAGACTTATTTCCAAAATAAGGATTTTTGAGAGTCACATGAGTGGGCAGAATTCCGTTGCTTAGAGCAGGGCCTTGCAAGTGCATGGGTATCTCTCATAAATTATAACATCGAGATTTTCTTCAGTTCAAAGCAACATGCCGCTATTGAATTTCTTTTATTGCCAGTCTTAGGAACTGGTCTCTTCTTTGTAAGATGCATTTTGTTAGTTTCCTAATTCCTATTTGTTAGGGCAAAAATTTCTTGCACAGATCTGTTATTCAATAAAGAAAGACTTAGGCTCTGTATATGTATGTAGTAAGTGTTCTTGTATGTATGTAGTAAGTGTTCTTGTTCTAGTGGTCGTCCCTGCCTTACATCGGAGAGCAGATGTAAATGGGGATCACACTTCTCTGCAGGGAAGATGCATAGTCTGATTTCATTTTGCTATTTGTTTTAAAAATATTTATGGGTGTTCTCTCTCTCTCTCTCTGTTATGTGTGTGCTCGTTTGTGTGTGTGTGTGTGTGTGTGTGTGCATGTGTCTGTGCAGTTATGAGTGCCTGTGTACCTGTGTGGAGCCCAGCAGATGATATTGGGTGTCTCAGCACTCACTGTTTGCCTGTTCATTTGAGGAAGATTCTCTCCCTGAACACATAAAAAAAATTGTGTGTTTTTTTCGGCTGGGCTGGATCCTGAATCCCCCCCCCCCCCCCCTTAAGTCACAGGTGTGTGTGGACTACCTGGCTTTTTAGATGAGTCCTGGGACCTGAAGGCCTGAACTCTCGCACTCAGTGATTGGGTAGTTGCTGTTCTTGGTGGAAGTGCTGTCTCTCCAGCTCCATTCTTTTTCTGACGGAATTCAGTTGACTTAGGAAAGTAAGCAGTCAGGCGTGTAAGTCTGAGACCAGAGAGCATGTTGACACAGTTCTGCTTGCTTAGTCTAAATTGGGGAACAGAGAACCTCAGATTACTTAAATATTTTTGGTACGTGTGGTTGGGATAGAATAATGAATTTTTTTTCTTTTTTTTTCCTATTCCCATCCATGTAACTTATCTCTCATTTCAAAAGAGAGAGCAGGACTCTGTTAACTTTTTAAAAACATAGACCTGGAGTCTGGTTAGATAAATACACATGTCTTACACTTATGTATTTTTGAGTATGAGCTTTGAATGGTCTTTATTTTTCAGAGAATTCATATCTTGGATTTCCAGATTTTTAGTGGCTGAAGGTAGCATGTCATCAGATAGGAAAATAATGAAAACCCACCAGTTTTATTGGTTTGTGAGGCAGTCTGCTGAGCAGCCTGGCTGGCTCTGATCAGGTGACCTTCCTAGCTGTCCCCACTCCTTGGGAATCATACTTGTACATTGCACAAAGTGAGTCAGGTTATATATTCTCCTGCTTTTCACTGGAGCCCAGCTCTGTAGCTAGAGTTTTCCTGCCTGGCCCACAGTCAGTACAAATCTTTGTTACCCACCAGTCCCACAGCAGCTCAGACCCGACCAAGTAAACACAGAGACTTACATTGCTTACAAACTGTATGGCCGTGGCAAGCTTCTTGCTAACTGTTCTTATAGCTTAAATTAATCCATTTCTATAAATCTATACCTTGCCACGTGGCTTGTGGCTTACCAGCGTCTTCACATGCTGCTTGTCATGGTGGCAGCTGGCAGTGACTCCTTCTGCCTTCCTGATCTTTCTTTTCTCCTCTCTGTTAGTCCCGCCTATACTTCCTGCCTAGCCACTGGCCAATCAGTGTTTTATTTATTGACCAATCAGAGCAATTTGACATACAGACCATCCCACAGCCCAGCTCCCTGGGGTGGGAACCGCCTCGTTAGTTGGGCATGCCCTGCAGGTTGGGAGTTTGACAGTACCTCATGGAGGCAGAGTGCATGCAAAATGAAGTGGTAGTGTTTTGAAAGTCTCTAAATGGGTGACAGAAAACAGCTTGCATTACACTCACAGCTATAGACACAGACAGCAGGGTGGAATTGGAGCTACTAAAGTCAGGCAGAACAGACAGTCTGTAACTTTTTTACAAAACAGTCATTCTGTGTTGGTGTGACTGCTGAGGTAACTCATGCCCACATAAAAACTTGCACATACCTTTTTATTAATAAACTCCTGTTTGTAATTTTGCCCATGGCTGATTTCTCATAACACTCCCGCCCCTTTCCTAAGAGGAAGCAAAACGAAATTTCCGCCTTCTGTTTCCTCAGCTAAAATAATTGCAGTCAATAGGCAACAGTTATGAGATGAACTAGTTTGTGTGTGCATGCTGGTGCATGTCAGTGTGTGTGTGTGTGTGTGTGTGTGTGTGTGTCCATGTGTCCATATGGAGGCCAGAGGTTGATCCTGGATGTCTTCCTTGGCCCCTGAGACGGGGTCTCTCTCACTGACCCTGGAGCTCACCGGTAGGCTGGCTGGCTGTTGAGCTTTCCCGGTGAGCATCCTTCACCTCCGATGTTGTGGTGACAGTACTGAGGTACTCACTTTTTGTGTCGGTGCTAGGGCTCTGACCTGAGGTCCTTGTGCAAGCATTCTGCTAACTGAGTTATCTCTCCAGTCCAGATTTAGCTAATTTTCAAAAGCTCGATATTTGGAAAAACCCCTTGTGGATGCTACGTGTTCTTAACTTGAATTTTTTTGATTTAAAAGTGTTTATTTTGCGTGTGCATGTGTATGCACAGATGAGTGCAGGTGCCCTCAGAGGTCAGAGGCCTTGGATACTCTGGAGCTGGAGTTGTAGGTGGTTGTGCGTTGTCTGACTTAGGTGTTAGGAATCAAGCTTGGGTCCTCTGGAAGAGCAATATATGCTTTTAACTGCCCAGTCATCAATCTCTTCAGCCCCAATTTTCTAATTTTTAAGTATTTGAAATTGAAAAATGTTTTGGGAAACTTTGAACTAGGTTATTTAATTCATATTTTAGAATGTTCATAAGATGCTTTTCTTTTTTCTCCTTAGGAACTCATTTCCATACTGTGGATTTCACCTTAACGCCAACATCATGTCTGGTTCTAATGATGCCAAAGACAATTCCCACAACAAGGCTCGGACATCTCCTTACCCAGGTTCGAAAGTTGAACGGAGTCAGGTTCCTAATGAGAAGGTGGGCTGGCTTGTTGAGTGGCAAGACTATAACCCAGTGGAGTACACTGCAGTCTCTGTCTTGGCTGGCCCCAGGTGGGCGGATCCTCAGATCAGGTGAGAGGTGGGTGTTAGCTGGGTGTAAGATATCTACAGGTCATGTGTTTTCAGTTATCGTTTGTCCCTAGAGAAATCATTTTTATCCATTCTGGGCATTGTTACAAGTCAGTTTCTTCCCAAACCAAATAATCCATGTTTGTTTACTCTTTGCTAAGTTTTGCGAGGATCTCTCCTAATAGGCATATCTATTTTGCTTTGAAATACCTGCTGTTTGTGTTGAAATGATAACAGTGGATGGTGTCTGTGGACAGAAGTTTTCCTGTGTTCCACCCGGCCCGCAGCAGCTTATAAAATAATCAGAGGCTTAATATTAATTACAAACTCTTTGGTCTATGGCTCAGGCTTCTTGCTAGCTCTTTCATCTTAAATTAACCCATTTCTATTAATCTATACTTTGCCTCGTGGTCGTGGTATTACCAGTCTGCTGGCATCCTGTTCCTCCTTGGGCAGCTGGATCCTGTCTCCCTGACCCCGCCCTCTTCTCCCTGTGTCTCTCTTGGATTTCCCACCTGGCCCTTACCCTGCCTTACCATAGGCCAAAGCAGCTTCTTTGTTAACCAATGGTAAGCACCACATGTTCACAGGATACAGGAAGACCATCCCACAGCAGGTGTCTGTTTTTGCGCGTCCCAGTTGGGTTAACAGTTGTACACCTCTGTTGTTTCCAGCAGAGCTGGGCTGGTATTTGAGGTTGTGAAAATGTTTGTCAGACATTTTTCCAGATTGTCAAAAACAGATGATGCGCATGATAAAATAGGAAAGGGAGAGAGCAGAGTGGGGAAGGAGGAGAGGGGAGGCAGAGTGCTTTGTGTTCCTGGAAGTGCTGGGTTGGTTCATATTTCATGATCATGTTCTCTTTCCAGCTTTGCCATGCTACACAAAAATTATGTGTATTTAAGATGTGCAGCTCAGTGGTTGGTTTCACACGTACATTGTGAAGCGGTTACCATAGTAACACCAGTTAACACCCTCACTGCTGTCCCGTATACTTCTTTTTGTGGTGTGGTGAGAACACTGGAGATCTGTCTCCAGCACAGTGTGGGCTGTGCTCACTGAGCTGGACAGAAGAGCCCCAGAATTGATCCTCATACGAAACCAAAACCTCCAGTCCTTGCCGCATTATCTTCCCCGTGTGCCTGCTGTTTATGTTTCCTTTAATGGTGAATCTAATACAGTAGTAGGACTGTTTGCTTTGTAAAAAGCTTTCAGGAGCTGGACAGAGGGCTCAGTAGTTAAGAGCACTTGTTGCTCTTATGGAGGACCCGGGTTTGGTTTCCAGCACTTACATGGTAGTGCACAGCCTTCATAACTCCAGTTTCAGGGGCTTTCTTATCTCCAGGGGCAGCCTGGAGATATATGTAATAAATACAGGCAAAACACTCATACATGTGAAATAAAGTCAATCTAAAAATTATTTTTAAAAGTTACTCATTCATTGGATTTATTTTAATTATTTTATTTTACTTCTTTGTTGCTGGTCATTGCTAAGTATCCAAGTGGTCTACCACTAAGGAACATTCTCAGCCTAAGCTTGTATTTTAACTCGTGTATAAAAACATAAGGCTGCACTGATGTTTGGATACATGTATATATTTGAATCAGGTTAAACATAGCTATCTCCTCAAACCTCCTTCTTTAAGTTGAAAACATTCCAAATCATTTCTTCTAGCCCTTTGAAATGGTCTGTAATCACTCTGAAGTCACCATAGTGTACAATAGCACCAGAACCCGTAATCCTATGTAAGTATTCCTCAGTGCCCGTTGAGTAGGTTGTTCTCCAACCCCTTTGCAGCAGTGCTTTCCTGTCGGGGCCGCCAGCTCAAAATCACTACACAGAGACTTAGTATCAATTATGAAAGCTTGGTCATTAGCTTAGGCTTGTCTCAGCCAGCTCTGATAACTTAAATTAACCCATTTATATGAATCTACGTTTTGCCACTTGGTGTTACCTTTTCCATCTTGTATCTCCTGATTCTCTCCGTGTCTGAGTGGCGACTCTGCCTTTCTTCTTCCCAGAATTCTCTCTCTGCTTGGAATTTCCACCTATATCTCCTGCCTAGCTATTGGCCATTCAGCTTTTTATTATAACAGTCACAGCAAATGCATCTATCTTCACACAGTGTACAAATACCCCACAACATTTCCCTCTTTTGTTGAAATAAAAGGGAAAAGTTTTAACTCTGATACAGTAAAAATATATACAATAGGAACAATTATCAAGTAAGAATTACATTTGCAATGTCCAGTCCATTTGTATTTGGCAAATTTGGAGAATTTGTGACCGTATGTTGGTCTGACATTTACGTCTGAGCTGAGCAAAATGACTTTAGCTGAAGAGATTGGTAAGTGGTTAAAGTGCTTGCTGTAAGAGCGTTTGGACCTGAGTTTGGTCCCTAGAACCAATGTAAAGAGGCAGGAGTAGGGGGGAGGTGGGAGTGTGTGGGGGCAGGTGTAGCATGCGCTTGTAACCCCAGTGCTGGAGAGGCTGGGATCATGGGATCCCTGGAGCCTGCTGGCCAGCAGCCCAGGATATTTGGCCAGTTTCAGACCAGTAAGAGGTTCTGTCTAAGAAACAATGAGTGGATGGCTGCTGAGAATTGATCCCCGAGGTTGACCTCCGGTCTCCACACACACAAACATGCACACGTGCATCCCCACCCTGCACTTCTAACAACAAAAATTAAACAAGTTGATTGAGGTAGATATTAGGAGAGGGTAACTACAGGGAAGGAAGTGTAAGCGGGTGATTGGGTAGTCAGCAGCTGCCCACACACAGTTCCTTAGGGAGTGAGTGCTGCCATCTAATGGCTCAGCGGGGGTTACCATTCACAATACTATATTTTATATCATATAATTTGTATATATAAGAACTAGAAAAGAGGATTTCAAAGTTCCCCATGTAAGGAAGTGGTAAATGTGTAAGATGATGTAAACGCTAATGACTTAAATTAGGTCATCACGTTTTTATAAATGTACCAGATGGTCACTGTACCCCATAATATGTACAGCGATTATGCATCAATTAAAAAGACAAAAAAAGCCAGGTGGCAGTGGTGCACGCCTTTAATCCCAGCACTCGGGAGGCAGAGGCAGGCCTGGTCTACAGAGTGAGTTCCAGGACAGGTACCAAAACTACACCGAGAAACCCTGTCTCAAAATCAAAAAAAAAGAAAGGAAAGCACCAATCTTTGCTCTGCTGGTGGCTGTGGTTTATAACGTGTACTTTAACTCAGTTGCCTCCTGAGTTTATTCTCTTACACTCTGCTAAACTGCCATCACAGAGCCTCAGAAGGAAAAGAGCCCCAGGCCTCCCTCATCCAGAATCTAGCAAGTAATATATGCACATATGTAAACAGTGGACACGTGGGTGCAGCGTCATATGAAGAGGACAAGAAAGGCTGCATATAAGGGGCGAGGAAGGGCTGAGTGCAGGTGCTGGACATGAGTTACGAAAGAGGACATACAGCTAATTGCCATTCTAGTTCTAACTGATGCATTCTTTGGTTTTGGTAGTGGATAAGTGCAAGGGAATATGTTTGATACAGAAAGTGTAACATGTAATGCAGAACTTCTCGGCCTCTGTTCTGAATGCCCACGTTAACTGTATAGAAGGCCATTGAGTTGTATGGGTTCTAGGTCTGGTTCATCTTGGTCTTGTTTTAATTTATTTGCAAGATTTTACATACTGTTTATTATAAAATCTTTCTGTTGAGGCATGACATAAATGCAGTATATGTGCATTTCCAAAGTGTGCAGTTTAGTAAATGTGCAATTCAGGTCAACATCTCCAGCATTTCCAGAGGACTATGGCTATTTTTGATATGTGTCATATTTACTGTATAGTTGAGGAGATGAATTCACCCTTTGCGAATTTTGATGATATGTGGATATTTGACAGCATTAACCAATATGCATTAGATTAAGGTAAAGTCACTTGGAGGCAGTAGGGATGTCACGCTGTTCAGAAGGAACCTTTGGTTGGGAACCCCGTGGGAGCTGGCTTTTGCCGCAGCGTTCCCACAGATGGTTCTGGGTTGCTGGTATGATGTGGACATTTTGCTCATGTAGGAGGGGCTCCCTTCCTTCTTTCAAAAGGGTTTATAGGCCTAATAATATGACATCTTTTTCTGCTTTGGCTAAGAGGGTTTTTGCCCACCCCTAGAGCCTGTTTTGATCGAATAAGATGATTTATAAATCAGAACTTACTCTTAAAATTTTTCAAAGATACTGTTTATTATGAATAGCAGTGAGTTAGGTTGTTAAGCTGTAGGTGGTGTTTAATCATCGTTTTATTTTGCATTGTCATTCTCATTGCAGTGAAAGCAACTTTTCTCCCAAATTCAATGAAAAGGATGGGCACGTGGAGAGAAAGAGCCAGAACGGCCTGTACGAGATTGAGAATGGAAGACCCAGGTGGGTGCTGGCGTGGAGTGACTTAGCCTAAGATCTCAAGGGAGAGGAGGTGTTAGCAGTCTACAGTGTAACTGTAAGAGCCAGGCACGATCATTTTCACAGAACTCCTCGTGCATTCACAGGTGGTGTGAGTGCAGATGCGGTGATGATTCATAGCAGTTTGCACACAGCTAGTAAGTGCTGGAGACAGGATTTGAGTGTATTGTTTCATTATTTTATCTTGAAGGTTGAAATAATTGAATAAGTATAAAAAGGACTAAAATTTATATTTTCAATGGATATTTATTAAATGAGCTAATGGCTTATAGTAAGAATTTATTCAAATATGTAAGACATGAAAGATAGTAAAACTCTTTGCTGGGTAAAATTGCTCAGTGTATAAAGTCTCTACTACAAGGCTGACCATCTGCCCCAGGGGACCCATGTTGGAAGGAGAGATTGAGTCCTGTAGCTTGTTCTCTGACACACACACACACACACACACACACACACACACACACACACCCCACACACTAAATAGAATGCAATTTAAAAGACAAGTAAAACCCAGTAATTTAAACATCAAGGCTCTTTTTGCCCATCTCCTGTTCCTGTCCTTCTGTGAATTTGAAAAAAAAATTATTGTCAGTTGTCCAGGTGACTTAAAAAAAGTGAGTTTAGTGCAAAACAATATAAAAATACACTCAGTTTCAACAGCAGTGATGCAGATGGGCCTGAGTGCGGATGCGGTGATGTCATGGGGTGTGAGTGCGGATGTGGTGATGATCATGGGGCCTGAGTGCGGATGTGGTGATGTCATGGGGCCTAAGTGCAGATGTGGTGATGTCATGGGGCCTGAGTGCGGATGTGGTGATGTCATGGGGCCTGAGTGCAGATGTGGTGATGTCATGGGGCCTGAGTGCAGATGTGGTGATGTCATGGGGCCTGAGTGCAGATGTGGTGATGTCATGGGGCCTGAGTGCAGATGTGGTGATGTCATGGGGCCTGAGTGCAGATGTGGTGATGTCATGGGGCCTGAGTGCGGATGTGGTGATGATCATGGGGCCTGAGTGCGGATGTGGTGATGATCATGGGGCCTGAGTGCAGATGTGGTGATGATCATGGGGCCTGAGTGCGGATGTGGTGATGTCATGGGGTGTGAGTGCAGATGTGGTGATGTCATGGGGCCTGAGTGCAGATGTGGTGATGTGGTGATGATCATGGGGCCTGAGTGCGGATGTGGTGATGTCATGGGGTGTGAGTGCAGATGTGGTGATGTCATGGGGCCTGAGTGCAGATGTGGTGATGTCATGGGGTATGAGTGCGGATGTGGTGATGTCATGGGGCCTGAGTGCGGATGCGGTGATGTCATGGGGCCTGAGTGCGGATGTGGTGATGTCATGGGGCCTGAGTGCGGATGTGGTGATGTCATGGGGTGTGAGTGTGGATGTGGTGATGATCATGGGGCCTGAGTGCAGATGTGGTGATGTCATGGGGCCTAAGTGCAGATGTGGTGATGTCATGGGGTATGAGTGCGGATGTGGTGATGTCATAGGGCCTGAGTGCAGATGTGGTGATGTCATGGGGCCTGAGTGCAGATGTGGTGATATCATGGGGCGTGAGTGCGGATGTGGTGATGTCATGGGGCCTGAGTGCAGATGTGGTGATGTCATGGGGTGTGAGTGCAGATGTGGTGATGATCATGGGGCGTGAGTGCAGATGTGGTGATGTCATGGGGTGTGAGTGCAGATGTGGTGATGTCATGGGGCGTGAGTGCGGATGTGGTGATGTCATGGGGCCTGAGTGCAGATGTGGTGATTGTCATGGGGTGTGAGTGCGGATGTGGTGATGTCATGGGGTGTGAGTGCAGATGTGGTGATGTCATGGGGCGTGAGTGCAGATGTGGTGATGATCATGGGGCCTGAGTGCGGATGTGGTGATGTCATGGGGCGTGAGTGCGGATGTGGTGATGTCATGGGGCCTGAGTGCGGATGTGGTGATGTCATGGGGCCTGAGTGCAGATGTGGTGATGTCATGGGGTGTGAGTGCGGATGTGGTGATGTCATGGGGCCTGAGTGCAGATGCGGTGATGATCATGGGGCCTGAGTGCAGATGTGGTGATGTCATGGGGCCTGAGTGCGGATGTGGTGATGTCATGGGGTGTGAGTGCAGATGTGGTGATGTCATGGGGTGTGAGTGCGGATGTGGTGATGTCATGGGGCCTGAGTGCAGATGTGGTGATGTCATGGGGTGTGATTGCAGATGTGGTGATGTCATGGGGCCTGAGTGCAGATGTGGTGATGTCATGGGGCCTGAGTGCAGATGCGGTGATGATCATGGGGCCTGAGTGCAGATGTGGTGATGTCATGGGGCCTGAGTGCGGATGTGGTGATGTCATGGGGCCTGAGTGCGGATGCGGTGATGTCATGGGGTGTGAGTGCGGATGTGGTGATGTCATGGGGTGTGAGTGCAGATGTGGTGATGTCATGGGGTGTGAGTGCAGATGTGGTGATGTCATGGGGTGTGAGTGTGGGTGCGTGTAACTGACATTTTATTCTGGGCTATGGATTAGATTAAAACGTTAGTTGGGGGTGGTGGTAGCACACACCTTTAATCCCAGCACTCGGGAGGCAGAGGCAGGCAGATCTCTGTGAGTTCAAGGCCAGCCTGGGCTACAGAGTGAGTTCCAGGATAGCCATGGCTACACAGAGAAACTCTGTCTCAGAAAAACAAACAAAAAGTTGGTTGAGGGCTGGGAAGATGGCTTTGGATGAAGCTCTTGTTGTATAGCCATACAGACAGGAGTTTGACTCTCCAGAGCCCACACAAAAGCCAAGCAGACAGGGAGGCTGCCTGTAATCTCAGGACTCAAGGAAGGGACTGAGCAGGATATCGCAGGGGTAACTGGCCAGCTAGGCTATCTCAGACTAGCTGATTGGCCCTTCCTTGATAAACTGGAGCACTGTTGATGAAGACACCTCAGGTCGGCTGTCTACTTCATGCCTCCACACATGTACATGCATACCACCTGCACACATTCAAACGTGTGTACACACATGCATGCTGTATCAAGCCAGACTTTAAATAATGAGTGCATTTAATTGATTGTGTGTTGTTTGTGATCTTTTGTTCTTTTCCCCATAGAAATCCTGCAGGAAGGACAGGACTGGTCGGCCGGGGTCTTTTGGGGAGATGGGGCCCAAATCACGCTGCAGATCCCATTATAACCAGGTAAGGACTGAGTAAGGTGTTTGAGTAGCAGAGAGCTAAGTGATCAGAAAAACACAAATGTCAGCTCTGTGTCTGTGTTTTATGTGTAGGTATAGAACTGTGTTTGTACGTACACAGGACCTTAGGTGACATTGTGGTGTGCGGTGGAAGAACAAAGCTGTGGTTTTAGCGAGGTGTTGTCGCTTATGCTTATAATCCCTGTACTTGGGAGATTGAAGCAGGAGGATTGCCATGGACTTGAGGCCCGTCTCAAAGCCTCAAAATCAGTCAGTCAGTTGATTAAGCTGCGGTTTTATGTGGTAGGTGTACATCAAGCATTATCTACGAGGCATGTCCAACTTACTGCCCGAGAGCTGTGTTCTGTGCCCAGTGATGGCTGTGAATGTAGCCCAGCACATGAGATGATTTTTTTTCGCTCGAGAGCCTGTTTTCTCCAGCATGAGCTTTGTAAATGACAAAGTCATGTTTTACATTGTCAAAAGTTTGCATATACCTGGCAGATATTTATTGAACATCTGTTGTTTTTTTTTTTTTTTCAGCATTGAGTATGAACTTTGGAGCATATAAAAAAGTATAAGAATTAAGGTTTTGGTCATTGAAAAGCTGTAGCTTCATTTGCGAGGTGGGAAATTTAAAATAAAAAGCATGAAATATGACCAAGTGCAGTTATGGATTGCTCAGCATTGGAGACACATCCTATGAAACATGTTATTAGGCAATTTCCTCATTGTGTGCCTGTCACACAGTGTACTTGTTTGTCCATAAAAACACTGAGGAAGACGTGATCGTTAAAGAACTTGATGCCATTAAAAAGAATCCAGGAGCTTTCAGTGGAATGGTATAGGAAAGACCTTGAGGGTATCTCAGGAATGGACAAGTCACTCCTACCCCTTGGCTTCCAACGTCTAAAAGGGTAAACTTACTTATAGTCTTACCTTAGAAGGGAGCCGTGGAGCACCCTGCCTGCACAAGGATGCTGCCCTTTCCAGAGGATGATATCTATGAAAGCCACACTTTCAGTTTCAAATGAATGAGTTTATTAAGTGTAGCAGGTAAAAGTAAAAGAAAGAAATAGCAAGTAGCAGAAGGTAACAGATTTTATCTGGTCTTTGAGTCATTTTGTTTCCCTTGAGTGATCTTCGTGCCTCTGTGGAGGTAAGTGAGCTCTCTAAAATGCTAACAGACTGTGGCATTACCCTGTTGAGCAATATTCTCTGGCTCTCTTAAGAACACAGACTTGAGAATTCTGCTGTATAAACATTCGCTGGCTTCTTGAGCTTCACACTCTACCCTCCCTCTCACTTGCTTAGATGTTCATTTTCCTGGACCAATATTTTGTTGCTTTGTTTCTTTCTTATGTTGTGTTTGGGTCTGCACTAACAATTCTTTTACTTCTGTTTACTGTACTCCTCAGTCTGAAACCTTTTCTTGTGATGTGTCACTTTGGGGTTTAGCCCTGCTCCAGACCTTTCATGAGGACTTGTGGGTCAGATGAAACTTGGAGACCCATCCAACACTAGTGTGCTCTCACACTTCCTCTGGGGTGAGAATCGCATCATAGGCTTTCCTACCCACTTGTTATTGGAAGTACAAAGTTCGTACCTTTGTCTAGAAGACCAGTTTTAGAAAAAGCCTTGCAATTGAAGCAGTGGATCAGGAAAGGGAGGGGAGGCTTGTCTTTGAGAAAGAGGATGTGGTTAGAAAAACGTTTTCTGAACTATTCTCTAACCACATAATTTAATTCAAGACATAAAATTAAAGTATAGGATGGAGGTTTTTTCCCCTCGTAGTCTACAGATGGTATAAAGATTACACTCAGCTGAAACTACTTGGTAGCCTGCTTTTCTGATATCCCAGGGTGAGGTGCTCAGTCCAAGAAATATTGCCAGGCCTGTTTATCACTTCAATTTCTAAAAGGGGTCCTTGGTGGAAAAATACCTTGCAACACTTTGAGAACCTTCCTTCAAATTATGTTCCGCTTTTAAATGTTTTTTGTTAAGGAGTAAAAATTGTATGTGATCTAAATTTTCCTTACTAAGAATACAGCATCCTTGTGTGATGTAAACTTCCTTCTGGTTTATAACAGGGCTAAACAGATCGTTTTTCTAATGAAAACAGTCTTAAACCGGCTGATTTTGGGTAAAGAAGTACTTTGGTGTAGAGAAAGCACCTTTTAGTCACAGATGTAAGCTGGAATCTTGTCTTCTGTCCTCGCTTGCAGGTGGAAAAGGGATGACAGTGGTAATAAAATCACACATCCTGTCTCCGGGAAATGCATCTTACAGTTCGTTGCAATAAAAAGGAAAGATTGTGGAGAGTGGGCAATCCCGGGGGTAAGTATGGCCCCGCCCTCCGCTGATGCTGTCACTGTCCATTGCTTGGCTCACTGTGAAGCTCCTGTGTGAGGAGGCTGCTCCTCACTCCCCATCAGTCTCTATTACCGTCATGGAGGAGGCTGCTCCTCACTCCCCATCACAGTCTCTATCACCGCCATGGAGGAGGCTGCTCCTCACTCCCCATCAGTCTCTATCACCACCATGGAGGAGGCTGCTCCTCACTCCCCATCAGTCTCTATCACCACCATGGAGGAGGCTGCTCCTCACTCCCCATCACAGTCTCTATCACCGCCATGGAGGAGGCTGCTCCTCACTCCCCATCAGTCTCTATCACCACCATGGAGGAGGCTGCTCCTCACTCCGCATCAGTCTCTATCACCACCATGGAGGAGGCTGCTCGTTCACTTCCCATCAGTCTCTATCACCGCCATGGAGGAGGCTGCTCCTCACTCCCCATCAGTCTCTATCACCGTCATGGAGGAGGCTGCTCCTCACTCCCCATCACAGTCTCTATCACCGCCATGGAGGAGGCTGCTCCTCACTCCCCATCAGTCTCTATCACCGCCATGGAGGAGGCTGCTCCTCACTCCCCATCACAGTCTCTATCACCACCATGGAGGAGGCTGCTCCTCACTCCCCATCAGTCTCTATCACCGTCATGGAGGAGGCTGCTCCTCATTCCCCATCACAGTCTCTATCACCGCCATGGAGGAGGCTGCTCCTCACTCCCCATCAGTCTCTATCACCACCATGGAGGAGGCTGCTCGTTCACTTCCCATCAGTCTCTATCACCACCATGGAGGAGGCTGCTCCTCACTCCCCCCCATCACAGTCTCTATCACCGCCATGGAGGAGGCTGCTCCTCACTCCCCATCAGTCTCTATCACCACCATGGAGGAGGCTGCTCCTCACTCCCCATCACAGTCTCTATCACCACCATGGAGGAGGCTGCTCCTCACTCCCCATCACAGTCTCTATCACCGCCATGGAGGAGGCTGCTCCTCACTCCCCATCACAGTCTCTATCACCACCATGGAGGAGGCTGCTCGTTCACTTCCCATCAGTCTCTATCACCACCATGGAGGAGGCTGCTCCTCACTCCCCATCACAGTCTCTATCACCACCATGGAGGAGGCTGCTCCTCACTCCCCATCAGTCTCTATCACCACCATGGAGGAGGCTGCTCGTTCACTTCCCATCAGTCTCTATCACCACCATGGAGGAGGCTGCTCCTCACTCCCCATCAGTCTCTATCACCGTCATGGAGGAAGCTGCTCCTCACTCCCCATCAGTCTCTATCACCGTCATGGAGGAAGCTGCTCCTCACTTCCCATCACAGTCTTTATCACCACCATGGAGGAGGCTGCTCCTCACTCCCCATCACAGTCTCTATCACCACCATGGAGGAGGCTGCTCCTCACTCCCCATCAGTCTCTATCACCGTCATGGAGGAAGCTGCTCCTCACTTCCCATCACAGTCTTTATCACCACCATGGAGGAGGCTGCTCCTCACTCCCCATCACAGTCTCTATCACCGCCATGGAGGAGGCTGCTCCTCATTCCCCATCAGTGTTCACCACCGTGGAGGAGGCTGCTCCTCATTCCCCATCACAGTCTCTATCACCACCATGGTTTAGAATGATGTAAGCTTTTAGGATCATGTACAGTTGTAGCATCTTTGGAAGAACATGAACTTCCGGCTAGACCGAGGCTCATGCTCTGCCCTGTGCACTTGCTGTGGGTGATGGAGTCCAGGCCCTCGTTGTTAAATGAAGGTAGCCCTATTGACCTCAGAGAATTGCCAATGAATGTTTGACATATGGTTGGGACTCCTTATGTAAGGTCCATCTCAGTCCCCTACTCTAAACTCAGTTATATATTTTTAGCATTATTGATTGAATTCTTATTTTTAATCATAATACCACTGGTTACAAACTTTTCCTGAAGTTCCATATCACCATCAGGAAGGGTGTACTTGTAGCCCATATTGACTTTGTGCCATTGATGTATTTGAATACATTAAAATTGTATCCTATGTGTGGGAGAGGCCTTGTAGTTTATGTCTTACTGTGAGATGGCGGTAGCTTGAGTGAAGATGGGTTTTTATGAATATACTGCTGTCGGTAAGAATATGTTTTTCTTTGTAGTGTAAGAATGGAGTGGAATTACAGCCTGTAGCTGACTGATCCAAGCTCAGGCTGATGCCGTGAACCAGTTCACTCATGCTAAGTGCAGTAACACAAGAGTGGTTTTATCGTAGGGCGTTACATTTTTATCGTTATTTGGAATTCTGATCGGGAAGCAGCTGTTGTCACTGATACATTTCTGAATACATTGATACAGTTTTCATCTCCTTAATTGACGACTCCCTGCCTTTTCAGTTAATATTGTAGACACTGAGACAGAACAGAGCTAAATGAACAGATATCCCTGTCTTCTGTTACATTTCAGTGGGAAAGGTAGCTCATGTAATAAGATGGATCAGTTAAATCTAAGTTTTATGTCAGAACAAGAAAATCTAGACCAGGACTGGAAGTAAAAAGTGATTGAGAAATTGAAATTGTAGTTACAGCTGGAGAAGGCCTGTGGGGAAGGTGACATTTAAATGACATTACGGAGGAAGCGAATGGGTAGTGTCTGTGGAGAGACATTTGGGGTTCTGTGGAGAGAACTAGCAGGCTCATCCGCTCTCGGATGGAGTGCTGCTGGTGCAGTCTGCAGATGCTGAGGAAGCCATTGTGGCTGGAATGGACTAGTCAGTGTGGGAAGAGTCACTGTGCTGTTTTCTTGCCTCTGGGCCTTGTAGTTTGAGTTTGGAAAGTATGAAGAAATGAGTTTGCCTGGAACAGTTTGCCATAGCCTAACCTTGGACCAGTTACTGTGGCTCAGTGTATGCGTTGCCTTTCTTGGCTGCTGCTTCTGGAAACGAATGGTTTAAGAAGCTCTTCTCACAGAGGGGTGGGGATAACTATGGTGGGGAAACACAGAAATACGCGTTTATTGTACCAGTCAGTAAACGAGTCGAATAAGCCAAAGCTTAACTTCTTAAACAATGTGACTGCAGGGGATGGTAGACCCTGGGGAGAAGATCAGTGCCACACTGAAGCGGGAGTTTGGAGAGGAAGCCCTGAACTCCTTACAGAAGTCCAGTGCTGAGAAGAGAGAGATCGAGGAGAAGCTGCACGCGCTCTTCAGCCAGGAGCATCTCGTGGTGAGGGCTCCCGGGAGGCTCCGGCCCCAGTGCCGCAGCCTGTCAGCGGGGCCGTGGGATCTGCTCACAGAGCAGACTGTGCTTAACCTTTATATCCAGGCTTTAGCCCATCTGATCATTCATTACTTTCTTCCCTCTGACTTTTCTTCAGCTGAGGACTGAACTCGTGTGACAAATGAGCTATTTTCTTACACATTGAGCAGATCTCTCTCTCTCTCTCTCTCTCTCTCTCTCTCTCTCTCTATCAGTTTTTAGATTTCTGTTTCCTAGGTTTGTCAAGAATAATATACCCTCCAATCTATGAAATTGTAATCACAGAAATTATTAAAACAGAAAAATACTTACACTTATACATATATGGCCCAAATTGACTCCCATGGTGCTGTTGAACTTGGGGGTCCAGCATACTAATCATATTCCATCACTGAGTTACACCTCCAGCCCTTCTCAGATTCTGTGGTGCTGAGGATTTTGTGAATTTTAAGTCTGCCTCAAAAGAGAGTATTGTACCCTGAGAAACATAAGATAAGTCTATGAAGCTATGCTAAAGGTTGTATGCTGTTTACATTTCTTTGTAAGCATTTTTTTAGGGGGGAAGTAAAGCCATGTAATATAACATACAACTATAACTATTTTAAAATGTCCAGTTCAGTAGTGTTCAGTGTGCATCAGGATATTTCCATATATTAACTGAGTCTCTCCTGCTCACTCCCGTCTCACCCTAGACACTGTTTTTCTGTCCCCCTTGACAACAGATATATAAGGGGTATGTTGACGATCCTCGGAACACTGATAATGCGTGGATGGAGACCGAGGCTGTGAACTACCACGATGAGACAGGTGACTTTAGTCTTAAACATGTTCCGTTGGCTAGAGCTGAGGACCAGCTAAAGCCAGGATGTCTACTAGGACATCAATCAGTACACCTAGAGTGTCTTAGCTCTTAAACCAATTAACTATTGAGTTTAGGGCTGTGCTTATCTGCAAGTGAAGTTGTTAGTATTAAAAGAATACTTAGAACAAAATCTGCAAAATTCTATCAGTGACTAAAATGCCCTTAATCTGTTGATGGCACATGAAGTTGGATTTATAGGCTAAAATAATGCGGTTGAGAGCCATCAATTATTTAGTACAGTTATTAAACTGTAATTAAATTTGTGTAAACAAAAGCAAAAGCAAGTGGGAATTCGGGTGGGGCAGTTTGTTGGTGAGGGAAGAGATGACATTTATATTAACCTTGTTGTGTGATGTGTTGCCATCCCGGTGCTGCGGCCTTGGGATTGCCGGGTCTGTAGTAAGTGTGTGGTACTGAGCGAGGGCATTTCCTCACCTGGGGGTCTTAGGACTCTGGGAGAGACCGTCTGTTGTTACAGAAGAGAAGGGAACCTGCTGTCTTCAGAATGACCTAGGATCTCTATGCATCAGCTTGCTCCTCAGAACACCCTTTCTTGCTAAGCTGAGTGGTGTTTTAAGCGTTTGGCATTCATTTGAGGAGTGATGAAATGACCATGTTCAGAGAACTCCCTGTTCTTCTGGCTCTTTGCTGAGCCACCTGATCTTATGCTAATCACTTGTCCTTGGACGGCAGCTTAGATGTGGGAGGTCTCCTTTCACTCTGCCTTTGCTTGGCCTCGGGGAAACTCCAGTACCAATTAATTCCCTTCACAATTCATTACTTATTTGTCATGTGCAAATGGAGTTTAGAACGGGTTTCTTGTTTAACTGCACACAATGCATTACTTATTTGTGAGGCTAAAAACAAATGGCCTTTTTTCCAAAGATTGAAGGTAGATTATATACCTGATGGGTGGTTAATCTCAATTTCTCTGTAAAAAAAAAACAAACCCAAAACCTCTTTGCTTAAATTCCAAGTCTTTGGCCTGTATAGATTGGCATGGCTTACCTAACAAAAGGAATTAAGGCAGACAGGCCTGTAGCACTAGGCTCTGTCCTGGTCTTACTGATTTGTCTTCCTCACACCTTTGGGCATCTCTAAGAGACTCCTTGGTAAGGTCTGAGGTGTGCCCTTCTCTCAGCTGATCCCTTGTTGGTAAAACAATTGTACCCGAGGGCAGTAAACGGTGTGTTCAGGCTGGTTGCTGTGCCCCTCTCTCTGCTGTGACGGGATTTTCTACCCGAGCATGTGGCAGTGTGGATCTGAGAACTGTTTTTGTTCAGCTTTCTTCTAGTGAGAGAGGGAGAGGGAGCTGCTGAGCCCTGTATGTGTTTAAATATCAGTGATCAGAGCAGTAAAAGAAAGTCTAGATATTATTAGTTCAGATAAAACACAGCATGCTAGAGGACTGTACTGAGGTAACAGGACACTTTAAATCAGTGGTTCTCAACTTTCCCAGGGCTGTGGCCCTTTAATACACTTCCTTATGTTGTGGTGATCCCCAACCATAAGATTATTTTCGTTGCTACTTCAAAACTGTAATTTTGCTACTGTTATGAATTATAGTGTAAATATCTGTGTTTTCTGATGGTCTTAGGTGACCCCTCTGAAAGGGGTCATGACCCACAGGTTGAGAACCACTGCTTTAGCTTCGCACCAGCTGTGCGTCTCTCAGTCAGTGAAGGTGTTGGTCGCTGGAGTATGGACAGATGTGAGATGGGATGCCAGCACTAGCGCTTTGAGCCTGTGGCCAACCATTGTCCTCTTCAAGAAGGACTTCTGCTGGCTTACTGTAATGGTGATTTTGACGTAGGTGAAATACTTGGAACTTAGAGAATAGTTGATGTAAAGAGGAAAATATAAACCACCACCCTCAATTGCCAGCTTGCCTTAGCTTCTTCCAAACTTTGGGTAGCTTCACAAATAAATAGGGAAAAGGTGCTCGGGCTGTGTGTTCTGTTTCGTTGCCTGACGTTTCACTTAAAAGCATATTATGGCCACTTGATGGCCACAGATGTGGGCAGGCCTCAGTTACGGTTCTTTGTTTTTAGTTTTTTTGAGATAGGGTCTTGCCACATAGCCCAGGCTGCCCTGAGCTCACTCTATAGCCCAGGCTGTCCTGAGCTTACTGTATAGCCCAGGCTGTCCTGAGCTCACTCTATAGCCCAGGCTGTCCTGAGCTCACTCTATAGCCCAGGCTGTCCTGAGCTTACTGTATAGCCCAGGCTGTCCTGAGCTCACTCTATAGCCCAGGCTGTCCTGAGCTCACTCTATAGCCTAGACTGTCCTAAGGTCACTCTATAGCCCAGGCTGTCCTGAGCTCACTCTATAGCCCAGGCTGTCCTGAGGTCACTCTATAGCCCAGGCTGTCCTGAGCTTACTGTATGGCTTAGTCTGGTCATGAACTTGTGGGCAGTCTTCCTGCCTTTGACTCCCAGATACTGGGATTGCAGTATGGACTACCATTTCAGGCCCCATCACCTGCCTGTTTAATGACGCGACACTCCACTGTGTATCTCTATCATGTCTAATGACGCTCCACTGTGTATCTCTATCATGTCTAATGACGCTCCACTGTGTGTCTCTATCATGTTTAATGACGCTCCACTGTGTGTCTCTATCATGTTTAATGACGCTCCACTGTGTGTCTCTATCGTGTCTAATGACGCAACGCTCCACTGTGTGTCTCTATCGTGTTTAATGACATGACGCTCCACTGTGTGTCTCTATCATGTTTAATGACGCTCCACTGTGTATCTCTATTGTGTTTAATGACATGACGCTCCACTGTGTGTCTCTATCGTGTTTAATGATGCGACGCTCCACTATGTGTCTCTATCATGTTTAATGACTCTACACTGTGTATCTCTATCGTGTTTAATGACATGACGCTCCACTGTGTGTCTCTATCGTGTTTAATGATGCGACGCTCCACTGTGTATCTCTATCGTGTTTAATGACGTGACGCTCCACTGTGTCTCTCTATCATGTTTAATGACGTGACGCTCCACTGTGTGTCTCTATCATGTTTAATGACGTGACGCTCCACTGTGTGTCTCTATCATGTTTAATGACATGACGCTCCACTGTGTGTCTCTATCGTGTTTAATGACGTGACGCTCCACTGTGTGTCTCTATCATGTTTAATGACGCTCCACTGTGTGTCTCTATCGTGTTTAATGACACTCCACTGTGTGTCTCTATCGTGTTTAACCTGTGTCACAAGGCGATAAGTCTGATTCTGCCCATTTTTAAGACTGAGAGCTGATGCAAGGGCTCAGCGGTGGAGAGCACGCCCGCTCTTCCAGCCAGCCTAGGTTCAACTCCCAGCACCTCCCGTGACCCAGGAGAGCCCGTAACTGCAGTCCAGGGATCCAGTGCCTCTTCTGGCCTCTTCCAGCACCCAACACACACGTGGGGCACAGACATTCATGCTGGTAAAACACCCATGCACATTAGAGATAAATAAGGAATGTAGTATATGATACTAAATGCTTATATATGCACATAAAACACACACATATGTTGCACATAGTTTACTCTATTTCCTTTGAATAATTTTTTTTTTTTTTTTTTGGTTTTTTGAGACAGGGTTTCTCTGTGTAGCTTTGCGCCTTTCCTGGAACTCACTTGGTAGTCCAGGGAATAATTTTTTTTTGAGACAGAATCTCTCATTATGTAGCCCAGGCTGGCTCTTAACTGATGGCAATGCCCCTGCCTCAGTTCTCGTGGGTGCTGGAATTGGAGCAGTAAGCCATCACACCTAGTTTAATGTAACTTTTGTTTTCAGCGTTTGGGATTTTACCGGGAGATTCGTGTACACTAGGCAGGCACTGACCACTGTGCTGAATTCCAGCTCTCTAAACTCCTTGTACTTCCACCTGGAGCAGAGTCTGATACAGGCATTCCGAAAGTTATTGATGACATGCTCATCAGGGAGAATTCATTTCTTTTTTTTTTTTTGGTTTTTTTCGAGACAGGGTTTCTCTGTGTAGCTTTGCGCCTCTCCTAGAACTCACTTGGTAGCCCAGGCTGGCCTCGAACTCACAGAGATCCGCCTGGCTCTGCCTCCCAAGTGCTGGGATTAAAGGCGTGCGCCACCACCGCCCGGCTCGAGAATTCATTTCTTAGAGTCCTGGGTAAACACTGACAGTTTGTCCTATAGGAAGAGCCATTTGCATTTATACATGTATAAATGTAATTATGAATATATTATATTATGGTTTCTGGTTTGGCATTCAATTATATAGCTTAAACTACATGAGTTATAAATTTGTTTTTTAGGTTTTTTTTTATATTTAACTCAGTAATCCTTCTGGAATTTATTTTTGTAAAGGGTTTCATATAGCGTGGTATCTCTCTCTCAAGGAGAATAGTCTTTAAAGAGAAAAGTTTTCATCTAATATTTAATCAGTTAGAATTCAGGCATTTTGGAATATTATGGTTTTTAATTCTTTGGCCACCTAATAACAATGATTTAATCTTATTTTTAGTAAGACGGTTTGAAAATACAGGATTACAGTGATAAAAACCGGAATAAACGAATTCCCCTTTCTTTGGTGCGTTTCTTTGGCTCTAGGGGAAACCATGGACAGCCTCACCCTGGAGGCCGGGGACGACGCTGGAAAGGTGAGGTGGGTTGACATCAGTGATCAGCTCAAGCTTTATGCCAGCCACTCCCAGTTCATCAAACTCGTGGCCGAGAAGAGGGATGCGCACTGGAGTGAGGACCCTGCCGCGGACAGCCGTGGGCTGTAGCTCGTCCCCGTAAGCCAGGGCCACCTGGGAGTGCTGCAGCCAGCAGGGACGCAGAACTGACTCCACAGAGGACACTCGGGAAGGTCTGCAACCAGGTAAAACGAGCGAGTCCGATGAAGAACACTGAACTTTCAGCTTTCTTCTCAAAGGATTAGATTGCCAGATTTTGTATGTACTTAAGCATGGCTGAACAAAATTTAAATAACAAGTGGTCTTTAGAGAATTGTAGTTACAATAAAAATTAAAAAACCCAACTGGTGGTGATTCGTGTTTCTAGTTCTTACTGTTAACTCCTCACTGCCCTTGGAGCTGAGTGGTGTCCTGCTGAGCTAAACTTCCTCTGGAGGTGCCACCTCACATGTGCAGTAATGCCTGACCCGATTGCCTTTCAACTGGTTGCTTTCTGTTGTTTCCTGTGCACGCAGTGCCCGAGGAGGGCAGAAGAGGGCGTTGGATCCCCCGGAACTAGGTTTACAGGTGATTGTGAGCCTCTGTGTGTGTGCTAGGAATTAAACCCCTGTCCTGGAAGAGCAAGCAATGATCTTAACTGCTCAGCCATCTCTCCAACCCGAGTTACCAATTTTACAATGGAGTTTCAGTTGGTGCATTTATTTATTTATTCATTTTGAGGCAGAGTCTCACTGTATCTCAGTTTTTCTTGTGGTCAAAGATCAAAGTCAATGAATAGAAGTTCTCATTTTTAGAATATTTAAATTTTAAAAATATGCCCGGGTAAATTAGTAGTTTATAGAGATGTCACTTTACTGTGACTACTGCATGACAAAGAATAGATATAGAAAGGAATTAATTAGTCAGGATCAGCAGGGAGCTTTTGTGAGTTCAAGTGGCTTTTGATGGGAGGATAATATTAAGGATTGAAGTAGTTTTTCTGAGAGATGTGGGGTTAATATTATAAATCCCAGATGGAGAGAATGTGTTGGTGGGGTGTCCCCGAAAGAAGAAAGGGAAGTAATGCTGTCTCACCCCAGTGAACCCAGGTGACATGCTGGCCAGGGCTGGCTGTCCTTTGGCAAGTTGAGGATCACTTGAGCTAGAGGGTAAGACAAAGGGGGTGGGGTATATGTTGTCAGGACCCTGTTGGGGTAGATGGGAGTTGAGCTGAGCTGGTTGGAGCCTAGGTAGTATGACAGAGTCTGCTGGGAAACTCTGAGATGTTTGATGTCAAGGTGAACTCTCTTGACATGTTATTTTTAAAAGCCCAGATGTGCCTGGCCCTCGGGTATGTCATGGGCACTTGGACTTGATGAGGATAACTGCTCAGGAGGCGCTGTGTGAGCCTGGAGAGAATGCCACTTCCCAGCACTGAGACCAAACTGTTTTCAAAGGCTTTCAAGAAACTTTGAACAGTCACTAGAACACTTGAACTGAAACCCATACATGTTTTAGTGAGAAGTTTATTTAGAGCAGATGGTCTGTAGATAGTAGCCTTCCCTGTATTGTCTGAAGTTTCACAGAACTTTTTACAGAGAATACAAGATGGTAACCCAGTTCCGAGCTGCAGATAATAGAGCAGGTAACCAGCACCACCTGCAGTAGAGAAAACAGTTAAACCTTTAGCTTCTGGTCTTCCTGTCAGGAGTGTCTGCTCCAGGTCACTGGTGGTCCCCCTGTTCCTGCTCATGTCTGCCCATGGTCACTGGTGGTTCCCCTGTTCTTGTCATGTCTGCTCATGGGCACTGGTGGTCCCCCCATACTTGCTCGTGTTTGGTATGAGGAGTGCTTTCTTCTCTTAGAGACCTTAGAATCAGTAGATGTACAAACCTTAGATGTAGAATCAGTAGGAATACTAGATAATTCACTGCATATCCTCCATCCTCAGGTATTTTACAAATGAAGCAGTTGGCGTTTGGAAAGATTGCTCAAGAGCTTCTCCCCCCAAGGGACGGAGCTAGGATTTGATCCCAGTCTCCCTAGTCCCAGAGTGTGCTCTCTGTCTGCTGTCTTCTCTACCAAGGTTCTGACTCGGACTTGCTCCTGAAGGAGGCAGTTATGTAGACTATGTGTAGTGATGTAAATTCTGTTACAGCCGGACTTACGTGAGCCATGGCAGTGCGTGGGACTTAGGCTCTGTCTGATTGGCTAGTGCTGTTGACACTGTGCGTAATTTTGGGCCAAACATAGTCTATTTCATAATTTCTTAGTCTGAGGATAATGGCCATAGTCAGTATTTGTCTGATGCAAGCACTCTTGAGTTTTTGAAAACATTTCAGACATAAATATTTATCCTAATTTTACTTAATGTCATAGTTATCTTAAAAGTTAAAAGTATAGTAGATAAGGAGAGAACTTGAAAATTCCAGCTATTTTGCAAGACTATCCAGGTTTAAAATGATAAGTTTGAGTGTATTCAGAACTTTGTGATACATTTTCTAAGATATTTCTGGAGTTTTACTAAGTACATTTATATTTGATTACATTGTGGTGCTGTGGGTGGGATACAGGGCCTTACACATGCTGGGCAATCACTCTGCCCCTGAGCCACACTCCAGCCCAGGGCCTTACACATGCTGGGCAATCACTCTGCCCCTGAGCCACACTCCAGCCCAGGGCCTTACACATGCTGGGCAATCACTCTGCCCCTGAGCCATAATCTAGCCCACTGAAGAAGCAGTTAGGATCTATCCATTGAGAATCATACCCTCTGTAGTTAAATTGGCCTTCTGTATTCTTGCTTTTATCATGGCATTAATGTACTAACACAGACACTGTGGTGATAAAACTCTTAAAAAAATACATACTAGTTCATGGGAGAGTTCTGGGGATTTTACTCACCGTGTGTGACTTCTGATGTAACAGTGAAAATTATTTCTGTTGAAATAGCCAATACAGTTACAGTTAGTATGTGAGGTATCTTCAGAGTTCCTCCGCCACCTCCACCAGCCTCTCCCATTTCATGGTTATTTTGTTGTTGATGTGTTAATATTGGTGTGATTGGGGGAATGGCATAGAGAATCCCGTGCTTTGGTTATATGTAAATGCTGAAAAACTGAATCCTTCATTATCTTGTCTATAACATAGAAGCTTATTTCTTCCACATGGTATGTGGTGGCCTGGTGGAGGGAAGTTGTTGCAGCGATTAAAAAAAAAATTCTGGCCGGGCGGTGGTGGCGCACGCCTTTAATCCCAGCACTCGGGAGGCAGAGCCAGGCGGATCTCTGTGAGTTCGAGGCCAGCCTGGGCTACCAAGTGAGTTCCAGGACAGGCGCAAAGCTACACAGAGAAACCCTGTCTCGAAAAACCAAAAAAAAAAAAAAAAAAAAAAAAAAAAAAAAAAAAAAAAAATTCTGTCATGACAGTTAGGGTGTTTGGCCATCCGATCCCCAGAGCAGGTCAGCTCAGGCACTCTCTTCACCATTGCCAGTAGTCTATAGTGGAGGTATCTTTGTGGATTTCTGGGGGGGGGGGGACTGGGGGGTAGGAGGAAGGAGGACAGGGGAATCCGTGGCTGATATGTAAAATTAAATTAATTATAAAATTAAAAAAAGTGCTAGTAATATTCCAGGGCAGGGAAACTTATTACAAGGAAGGCTAGTAGGTGAAAACCCAATTTTTTTTTTCTTTCTCAAAATTGGGGTTGAAAATTGCCTTGAGGTCAGGACATAGCTACATTTGGTAATTTTACAAAAGGCTTTTCTCATTCTGTTACCATGACTTGTCCATTAGACAGAAGCAAGTCCAAGGTAAAGTACAATTACTTGAAAGTTTGTGACCTAATGTGTCGGTTTCTATAACCTTAAATTTTGTAAAACCCCCTTGGGAAAGGATACTCACTGTTAGAGATGCAGAAACTTTGATCTAAAGGTCTGGGAACTGAACTCATGAAGCCATGGCTTGTAATTGGCCTAATCCGTTGGGTTGATTCTGTCTTATGCTTCTATAGTTTAGAAGAGTTACTCTTACCTCCCCTGACATTGGATGTCACTTTTATCAGTACAATCAGAAATAAAATCTTACCCCAAGGAAGCCCTAAAAATAAGGAAAGAAAAAAGTTAAATACTAACTCCCTTTACTAGTGAGTTTGTAGTTTATGAGAAAAAGATTTACCTGCAGTTGGTTCAGAATGGAAGTGATTAGCTGTGAAAGAAGAAAGGGTAAGTACTATGAGTGGGTCAGACTTATTTACCATAGTACATGTGTCCGGTAAAACGTTTTGTACATAAATGCTTCATTGAAAATTATATTTTGTTTATATAAGATTTTAAAATGAAGATATTTAACTGTCTTTAATTTACAAACCAATACTTTCTCTGCCTTCTAACTGCATTTCCTGTATGTGAAAGTTAGAAAGTTGAGGAAACTCTGGGCCACTCGAAGCAAGTGGCGTTTCGGTCATGGATGTGAACGTCCTGTTGAATGGTTTCTTTCAGCACAGCTGTGAATGCGTGCTTTGTCCTGAGGATCTGGCTGCACAGGTGTGTCACTGGAAGTGTGTTGCTCTGTAGCTTCCTTAAAAACTTAGCAGCTCATTCAAGAAATTGACTTGGTCTAAGCGGTGAACCCATCTGTGTGTAAAGTCCTAGAACGCGCAGGCATGCTGAAGCTGACTGAACCCTGGCCAGCCTCAGCAGTTCTGGTGGATAAGCAGGCTCTGGGTGGTGAGTGTTGGAGGGGGCAAGAAAGGGGGAGAAGAGAGACAGGGGGGTCAGGGAGAGGGAGAGAGGAGAAGCGTCTGGTGCTCTCTGGCTATGTAGGACAGTTCTGTAAGTATTGTTTGGATTTTTTAAGGAGGCCTCCGGTAACTTGAATGAGTCAGATTCTCTGAAGAGAGAATATTCTCGGGGTCTGGCAGGGTCTGTATTTTCCATGCTGGGGGACTCGGCAAAGGCACAAAGCCTGTTCAACTCTGCAGGTGAGACCAGGACCCAGCTTCCTTCCACTGGCTTCTCCGTGCGCCTGCAGCCAGGCTGGGATGGAATGGTGTCTGGCTGATTTTGTAATCACTGGCACTCAGTCCGAAGGGGTCCCTGAGGCACGTTTAGTAAAAGTGTGCTTGGAATATTATAGATTTGATCTTTGGGAATGCACTCTAAGGTTTAAACAGGGTGCGCTGTAGGAAGAGCACCAGTCGCTTGAACTGAAATTGACTGTAGGCTTCCTGGTACATTTGAACAGTCTTCAGGATGTCTTGAACCAGTTTTTATTTTAAAATCCTCGGAAAATTTTTCTCACACACATAAACTATTATGGCCCAACTTTCTGACCTTTAAAAGAATACTGCATGCCCATGTTTCTA